TATGCTAGATCTGGGATTCACTGCTTTGATACTTAGGATTGAATGAATCTTTAGTCAATCACTTAGAATGTTTATTCAAATTATGTTAATAGCCTCACATCTTTTTCTACCAGTTTGCTTGTTCAAAACAATAAAATTTAGGCATATGCTATGCATAACTCAGAAGCACATCTTCATGCTTATCGAGTGGAAGAGGATACAAGAGAGGGCGTCTTCTCTTCTCTAAAGAAATTTAGCATATAGTTGAGTACATCAAACATGTTAAACTAACTTTCAGATTTTTTAACTCAGCAATAAATGTACAAGGAACGTCAAAATTTGTTGGTCACAAGGTTTAGAAAGAGGATGATTTCTGTTTTAAACACATTATTCTATCTTCTCTTACTCTAAATGAAAGTAGTTTTTAGGCTAGGACTCTTGAAGACCACCCATTAGTTAGAATTTTGATAAATTTTGATAAAGTTAATTAAGGATCCGTGCAAAAGGTGTAATGAAAAATCCTTTTTAAATTGGAATAAGGATTTCAACTCTTTCACATGCATTCATAGAGAATCCCCAAGACTAGTGAATCAGAGGCTCACACTTTGACATATTCTGATTTTTCTTTGTTCTGTGGGTATGTGGACATCAGTTTACATGTGTGTATTTGTGTTTGGAAAGAGTGTGGTGTAATCTGTAACCTCTGAGTTTTTCTATTATCTATTACAAGTATCTTGATACAAACAGAAAGCATAAAAAGTACTCAGTACATTTACTATGCATTTATCTTTTGCACTATATCTAGATAGTTAAATGTTATTACATGGTGATTATCAGAGAACTAAAGCATTTGCATGGGCAAACGATCTTAAAATATTCCATCCAGAATGGAAATATACTTGGTGGATGCAGCCCTAATCAGTAAAACTCAGTTTCCACTCTAAAGAATGGACTGTCTGGGTACTTCTGAACTATTCTTTTTATGACGTTTGTTATTATTATTTAAGTTGATGTGTATTTCTTTGCATGATTATCTGATTTGTTTATAACATTGCACTATCAAAATGTAAGGACAATTTCAGAATACCATTTGCATCATGCATCTAACTCAGTTCCTCTTTAATACATTTTATAACATGAATATCAAACATATTTCAAATTAACTTAGCTCTTCAGTGACTGGAATGTGAAAATCTCCTGTAAAAAAAAAAGGTGAAGGAGCACAAGACAGAGCAAAAGAATTGTGGGTCAAGTGAACAACTATATATCTTCAAGTTGCTAAGGGGACAGGCAGCCTTGTAAAACTAGCCATTGCCCTCTAAATTGTCTGTTTTCATCCCTCTGTGTATTTTATGCTTATTTTAGAGCCTCAAAAGAGCTGGATTTATTTGCTTGTAGAATACAATTTATATTTTAGTCTCTTGTGTTCAATTTTACATTTTCCAAAGTGCACTAAATTTAATAAATCTAAGTTAACAGTTCTCCAGTGAATACAGGCAATTGTCAACACAACATCCTATTTCTGAGCTGTTCAGAGGTTGTGGCACAAACTTTAGAATCATGACACTGGAGCTATATAAACACGTTATTCAAAATGTCTTTCTGTTTCTTGCAAAATGATGTGCACTTAAAAATTAAATCATTTGATTTCATTTTAGCATAAAGCTAGAAAAACATGTGCAGAACATTTAGAAATTGAGGTCCAAGACTAAGGATACCCACAGAAATACTCAAAGAAATATATTAATTTTCAGATAGCTCTATTATGTGAATCCCTGAATTACTTCCTGTTGCTCTGCACAAATGTAATAAGTATACTTCTTGAAACAGTATGTACTTTATGCAGAAGAGATGTCTTTAAAAGTGAGCCACATCCGTGGCTTCAAAACACACTTGAAAAAATAAAAATAGACGGATTTCTTTCGTATTAATGTAGGAGGCACTTAGAAAAGCAAGTATTCATATAAGATTTTTTTGGTGTGATGTAAAGTTTATCTCTATAGATATCAAAAATCCTTAATAAAATAAAATGAATTTCATGGAAGCCATTAGATAAATCTCTTTCCTAGGAATAAAAAATGGCAAGATATCTTTAGGGACCTTTTAACAAATATTGTTTACATAATGCCCTTTACACTAATGTGACCGGTGTCAGTAAAAAGGCATGTGAGTTTGGTTTACTTACTCTGAAATATAAATAATGTAATTATCCTAGCAATTTGCAAAGGGACGATAATCTCTTGTCTTACAAAATATTCCATTCTTCATTATTCAGAATTGACTCTTAGAATCCAATTTGAGTATAACGGCAAAATACTTATATACACACACTACATATATATGTACACACATCCAAAAGGAGATGAGTATTTGACATCTAGCTTCTTTTCTTTCGTTAGTAATGCTAGTGGTATTTAAAAACTTTCTAAATCCCAGTGGTTTGCATAGTCTGAACAAGTAAAATAATTCATTGACTCTTTCAATATCTGCAGCCTGGAAAAATAAAACTAATTCTCAATATTAAATATTTGAAATACATAACTACTTAAGTTGCCTTTTATTTCCTTGGTATTGATATTTCTTATTTTTAATTTAATTGTTTTTCAGAAAGGTATTTTTCTACAGTTTAGAAAAGTTTTGTTTTCCTTGAAGACAATATCCCAAGCTCACATACTCTCAAAGGGTTTGAAGTTATTTAATATTTTTCTTTATTCCATATTTCAACCTAGTTAGCTAATTAAGCTATATTTACTCTACATACAAAACAATAAATGAGTGGATAATTATCAAGAAGTTTAAAATAATATCTTCTTAATATTTCTGCCATCATCTCTAGCCTTGGCAGGGCAATAGGTATGGAAGAACAGAAACAGACATTGCTCTACCTTTTATTTGTTCTTGGAAGAAAAAGAATGTTTTAATTTTTATACAATTCACAAGTCCTTACAGAGTCCTTGAATGTAAAATTCAATGTAATATCACACAAAGTAACTTTTATTTCTCTGTGGGTATTGTCTGTAAAGCAAGTCAAAATTCTTTGAGAAGCAAAAGGAAAGCTTTGAACAGCAATTTTTAAAGTAAAAAGAACTCCATCACTAATACTTCCATCGAATGCATCTCCAAAGAGAGCAGAAGATCAGTGCAGTGAGAGGCCCTGTCATATTTTAGTAGAAACTGATTTTTCCCGGGTGGATCTCAGCTCTTCCTATGAAGCTTCCAGGCAGTTCTGAGCCACTATTCTTTGTCTTAATGCTTTGCTTCTGAAATAGGTGGACTTGGACAACTTTAGATTATTGCTGGCCCCAATACTTTATTAATAAATTTACCACATAATGTTTTACTTCTTTCAACAAGTTGTAGATAATTGGAATGCCAGGGCCAATAAAATCCCTAGGAGAAATAAATTCTTTCAGATGTCTGATGATTTGAATTTTTATATATTTGAAAAAGAATTTTCACTCAATAGACCTGGCCTTTTAAGATTTCCTAGTATTTGTGAACACAGATTTTTTAAAATAAATCTTTAGCTGTATAAGAACAAATATTTAAGAATATAAGGCATTAAATAAATGTATCAACAATTTAGAATGTAGTATTAAAACTGGAGTGGTAAGATAGTGATGAGTAGTAATTTAGGCCTTCACATTGGGGCTGTCCTTTAATATCTCACAGTAATCCTTAAAGACATGTCAATTAAGTGGACACATTCAAAATAAGATTCTTTTTTCAAAGGGGCTTTGTTTTGGTGATATAGAGAGTTGTTGGACAATACCATCTTAGGGTCTCCCTCTTTCTTTCTCTGATAGAAATAAAATAGGCAAAAATGTATTTTTTTCACCATTATAATTGGCCAAATTAGTAATGTATTAATGTATTAATAATTGGTTACTTCATTATTATCTGAAATTTTTTCCAAGTTTTAAAATAAATTTTTATCAATACTTTTCTAGACATAATTTTACAAAATGATGCAAGAATGCTTGGACCTATGGAAGGAGTGCTTTCATTCATGAATTGCCTGAGTTAGATGACACAAGTCACTCAAATTACCAACCATGATATAGACCACCAAGTGTCCCAAATGACTACCAGGAATAATCCTGTCAGCAAATAGGCCTTGAAGATAGGCTGCTTCTATTGGTTCATCCATTTGATTTCATTTTTCTAAGCAACTCAGGAAAAAATGACATAAGATTTCAGTTTGGTAAGATTTCTGTTCATTTAGCAAATGCAGTGCCTGCCACTGTTCTAAGTTTATAAATATTAACATACTTAACTCTCTTAGCATCTGTATAAAGTGTCTATTATGCCCGCTACATAGATGAAAATTTTGAGCCACAGAGAGGCAAGTCTGTAGCCCAGAATCACTCAGAGAGTTGGCCTTGGAACGCCTCTAGTGGCTGACGCTAGTCGTGTCACGCTGTCCCTCCTGATGAGTGCTTCTGAAAAATCTACCTCAAGAGGTGTGTGGTGTGTGCGTGTGTGCATGTGTGTGTGTGTGTGTGTGTGTGTGTGTGTGTGAACAGCTTGATAACCCTAGTAAATCAGGAATTAGAAGGTCAATATCCACCCTTGTTTAAAAACTATATGGAATGTGTTGGGATTCGGGAATGTGGGGACAGTTTTATTTGATTTCTGGTCATGATCAATAAGTTCAAGGGTGCTGACCCCTTACTGCTACCAGAGGTCCTGTTCCATTTCTCTAATCCTTTCACTCTTCCTTCTCCCTAGAAATCTACATCTCACCTCTTTTCTCCTCAGTCATCAAGCCGCCTTTCCCATTCCTCATTTTCTGCCGATGACTTTGCTCTCCAGTTCGGCAAGAACAAAAGCAATTAGAGAGCACTTCCACATATGCCTAGTACCACATCTATCAAACTCCCTGTGTTGGTAGCAATATGCCCTATTTTCCCTCATATTACTACTTACGGACTATCTTTTTCCTTATCTAGGGCCAACCCTTACACACTAGAATGCTTCCCCTTTCACCTCACAGATATCACTTAAGAAATTATCTCCCAGGGCCAGCCCAGTGGTGTAGCGGTTATGTTCACGTGTTCCACTTCAGTGGCCCAGGGTTTGCAGGTTCCGATCCTGGGTGCACACCCGATGCACTGCTTGTCAAGCCATGCTGTGGCAGCGTCCTATATAAAGTAGAGGAAGATGGGCATGGATGTTAACCCAGGGCCGATCTTCCTCACAAAAAAAGAAAAAAGAAAAGAAAAATTATCCCCTTTGCATCAGCTTACAAAAATATTGTACTATTGTTCCATATTTGAAAAACCTTCCCTTGACCCTACATTCTCACCAGCTACTTCATCATTTCTCCGTCATTGTCTGCAACATAACTACTGCCCATGTCCTACAGCCAATGACCACCAGTAATAGAGCTGTAGTTAACCAAAGTTGGGTTTAATTACTCATTGCAACAAAGAAGAACAAACAATGCTGAGTTGTTGGGCATCTCATTGAGATGATGTTAGAAAAAACATATTATTGGAGCTTGTGTTAGATTATTTGGGGAAGAGTTCAAGAAAACAGGGCTTTGCTATAAATTAGAGGCTGTCAGGAAGTGAGGATAATTCTCTGATTGAATATCTTAATAAATCCTATCTAAGGTAGAAGGAATAAAGGGAAGATAAAGCCACTGAGTACACTACACACATTGAAAATGTAATGAAGGGTTAAGAGATAATTTAAACTTCAGGGAAAGATATTTAAATATATTACTAGTATTAATTGCATATAAAATTGTAATTATATCTTATCTTTTGCCAACCATTAAAGTAGATAAAGTATGAGACATCTCATTTTATTAATGCATACTTTGTCAATTTTACCCTCTGCTTAGATATGAAAATTTAAATTTCTTTTTTTGGGAGGAGTGGTAGTTTATTTATTTTTTTTTTTATTTTTTTTTTGTGAGGAAGATCAGCCTTGAGCTAACATCCATGCCAATCCTCCTCTTTTTGCTGAGGAAGACCGGCCCTGAGCTAACATCCATGCCAATCCTCCTCTTTTTGCTGAGGAAGACCGGCCCTGAGCTAACATCTATTGCCAATCCTCCTCCTTTTTTTCCTTTTTCTCCCCAAAGCCCCAGTAGATAGTTGCATGTCATAGTTGCACATCCTTCTAGTTGCTGTATGTGTGATGCTGCATGAACATGGTCCGATGTCGCCAGGGATCCCAACCTGGGCTGCCAGTAGTGGAGCATGCGCACTTAACCGCTAAGCCAGGGGGCAGCCCCTATTGTTTCTTTTTTTTTTTAATTTTTTTTATTGTACTAACATTGGTTTATAACATTATATAAATTTCCGGTATACATCATTATACTTCTATTTCTATGGTAATTTCAATTTCTTAAAAATACTTTAATATACAAAATGCTTCATTCACATACTCTGACTCTTATCAGTTAGAATAGTTTTTAACAGAAAATAATTGAACATCTACTTAGTAATGGCTCAAACCATTAGGATATTTACTATTTGCTTAAGTACAATGAATGATACATAGCCCACATAAAGACCATATCATAATGTTTATTATCACAGCCATAGTTCCACAGTTAGCATTTTCTAAAGAAAATCTCTAATCTTGAGTTAATACACAGATTTCCACTAAGTGAATCTGTATCAATCCAATCATGTGCTCTATGTCATTCACATCATAGGAAGAAAGTGATAATGTTTGTTATAAACTTTATAGACACTTATTTGAAAAACTAATAAGTTTATAGGAAAATTAGCTATTGCCAATTATGGTGAATATAAATATCTTATAAAGCATTTCTCAGCATTTTATAACAAAAAATATACTGTCATATGGAAAAAGGAAGTAGTGATGAGAAGCAGTTTGGCGGTCACCACAGAAACAATTTCCGAGCTGCATGGTATGCATTAGCAATGCCATGTGCAAGCATCTCACTATGTTTTATCTAATTATCTATTTTAATCTATCTTGGGTATTAAAATATTGCTATCTCTATTTAATATTCTATTTCTACTGTAATCAAAGATTCCATCTGTTATTCGCAAAATACGTAAAAGGAATTTTCACTTTGTGGTCTGGCAGAGGCTAAATTGGCCTTCAGGTTGTAGTTTCATAAAAGCATTTGTAAAAAGTTGCCTTCTAACTGTGAAAGTAGATGCACTGCATTTATATCTCTTTATTTTCCTTCAATCTGGAACATTCTCTAACTTTTTTTTTGTTTTTTGGTCTTGACATTTTTGACAAATATATTATTTTACAGACTATTTCTCAATTTGGGTTTGCACCATGCATTTTCCTGATTAGAAACAGATTATACATATCTGTAAGCAATAACACAAAAGTGATGTCGTATCCTTCTCAGTGCATCATATCAAGAGGCATTGATAACAGTTTGTCCTAATGTTAGTGATCAGATCATTAGTTAATTAAGGCAGTGTCTGCCAGATTTGTCCACTGTAAAGCTATTATTTTCCCTTTGTAAATAATAAATATCTTGTGGCAGGAAACCTTGAGAATGTGTAAATAATATGTTTATCATCAAACATTACACACTAGTTTTAATATTCATTGATAACTTCCTAGCTTCATTATCCCTTCAATACTTATTGGTTGTCATTCTATTGAAAGAAAGTACTTTTCCTTATCCCTAATTTAATTTGGTATTCATTTATACCAGCATGAACTCATAGATTTTATTTTATTCAGGAGTTTATAATCCATATTATTAGTACGTATTTTGATACGTAAATTGCAAAAGATAATTTCAAGTGCTTCAAAATCACTGATAATTATAAAACCTTCCTTACCCAATGTAGAGACGAGTTGGATCCATGGATAGTTTTAGCATTAGCATATAAAGGACTTTATTTGCTGGTCTTCATGGTGGAAAATCTGACAGAGGTGTCTGTTTGCACTATCCTACGGTAGCTCTTAGCATTTCTGCAGAAGATGATGTCCTGAGGTGCAAAGGCTCCCACTCCCACAGTTTCTAATTCAGTGTACATTATGAAGTCTGCAGGAATAAACATTCTTATCAAGAATGTCATTACTTCGTTAGAACGGCTTACTATGATTTGGGTAACCCCAGGAATCACATTCAGAGAAAACTGTCTGGTAGACGTGTAGTAATAATGTCTGTCTACCTCACTGTTACATGACCATCACCTATTCCAGGTAGAAGCTAAATAAGCACTTCTAAAATTAATGAATAAACCATTGGATTCAGGAAGCTGAACTGAAGAGGAGGAGGGATTTTGACATGAATCATGGCTAATTTGAATAATTTTCAACCAATACTCTACTTTTAACCAATATTTTCTGAACCTCTCCTTAAGACTGTTAGAATGGATTCAAGAACTGTAGACATCTTTTCCTATTTGCTTGTGTATTGACAGTCTTCAAGAGGGTTTCAACCATGAACATACATTTTAAGGCAATTATTGTAATAAAACTACCTCTCGCCTGCCACTGGTAGTGACATTTGTTTTTAAGTCAATGTGTTCAATACTGGATATTTGTTTTTAAGTCATTGCTTCTAATTCTAGTTCCTATCCGTAAGACTGTGGTCCCCCACTTTTGAGTTTACAACTATTCAAATTGTCTATTGGGAATTCCTCTGCAGTTCTGTTTGACTTGTGTGTACATCAACATGATGTTACAAAGGTAAAATAATATTTAAAACTTAAAGATTTGCCTACATAAATCTGACTATAAACCCAGTCCACATGTTTTTTCACCTGGACACATTAAAGCTAAAAGGTCATGTTTTTAAGGATTTTCCCCTCCGACCACATATTAACCTGGAGGAAAAACAATAAGCTTCAATTATCTGTAATTTCCTACCTCTCTCATGGTCAATACATATATGTTTAATATGTGAAATGATAGCATGATGATATTGAGCTTCAAATTCTGAGTGATCATAATAGTGTTAAGAAAGAATGGTCCTTAGCCTAGGTCAGGTTCCTACTCCATCACTCGATGCTTTTGGAGCATTGGCCAATTCATGGAATCTCTTTGAGTTTCACTTTCCTTGTAGGTGAAATGCTAATGATATATGTCCTCAGAAAATATATGTGCAATAATGGAAAAATATACTTCATATAAATAAGTTTCCTAAATTTCAGTAAAGAAGCATTTATGTGATTTAAGCCTCTCCTGATATAATTCTGTATAATAAAAGTAACATGTAATGCATATTAAGAATAAGAAATACTCTCATTTTAAAAATTTTTACAAACTATTTCACTAATTGTCTTTAATTTAGAGGTTAGATATTAGCCTAAGTTTCAGACTAAGGAAAGTGAATATGAACCATTTTTAGGCTTATTCAAAGGAGACTTTTCTTTGGTCCTTTTTCTGTGATTGTAGGCATATGCATATTCTACTGCTCCATCAGGAACTAGAAGACCAAGTTGTTTTCTCTTATTATTTTTTTTGCTGAGGGAAACAAGTGCAAAAGTTAAGGGATCTATGTCTGTCCTAAAACTCTGGCTTTGTTAACTCCTTATGAGACCAAGTCCTAGGAACACCACGCTCATCTCTGACCCTCTTTTGATGCTCAAGAGAAAAAAAAAATAATAATAACACGGCAATCTTTACCTGGAACTAGCACTGAGAGAATCCCATTTACTTCCAAAGAGTGAAATGGCAAAGCATAGCTCAGCTATCTTTATGAAATTTATAAATAAAGACCTCTACGACCCCCTAGAAGTGGTATAGGTCAGAATTAGTGACTGACGTATCACCCGAGAGCTGAAGAATGACCCAGTCCTCAACTGGCTACATTTTCTGGCTGTAGAACACATTGATGAAAGGATTTTGGGTGCTGGGTGGTGGGGAGAGGGTATTTGGAAGAGAAATAACCACCATCTTGATTTATGCCACTAATATCCTTATTATATTATATCCTTCCCGTCCAATCTATAATAATCCCCTTCTCTCAGAGAAAAAACTTAGGGCTGCACTTTGACCTTCAGTAACCACAGATGAAATCATCCAAACACCCTAGAGAGAAAAGACAAATTAAAACACAGAGCC